ATTTTGGGAATTTTCAATGGGAATGTCCCAATGGGAATGGGATTTTGGGAATTTTCAATGGGAATGTCACGATGGGAATTGAATTTTGGGAATTTTCAATGGGAAAGACCCAATGGGAATGTCCCAATGGGAATGGAATTTTGAGAATTTTCAATGGGAATGTCCCAATGGGAATGGGATTTTGGGAATTTTTAATGGGAATGTCTAATAGGAATTTTCAAGGGGAATCGCCAATGGGAATAGAATTTTGGGAATTTTGAATGGGAATATCCTGATAGGAATGTCCCAATGGGAATGGAATTTTGGGAATTTTCAGTGGGAAAGTCCCAATGGGAATTGATTTCTGGGAATCTCTTAATGGGAATGTCTGAAGGGAATAAATATTTGGGAATTCTGCATGGATCCTGAGCGCTTCCGACGACCAAACCATCCGGGTGTGGAACTGGCAATCCCGGACCTGCGTGTGGTGAGAGTTCTGGAATTCCAATGGGATCCACCCCAAATCCTGCAGGATTCACCCCAAAAATCCTAATGGGATCGACCCCAAATCCTGCAGGATCCATCCCAAAAATCCCAATGGGATCCATTTCCAAAAATCCCAGCAGGATTGACTCCAAATCCTGCAGGATTCATCCCAAAAATCCAAACGGGATTGACCCCAAATCCTGCAGGATCCATCCCAAAAATCCCAACGGGATCCATCCCAAATCCTGCAGGATCCATCCCAAAAATCCCAATGGGATCCATCCCAAAAATCCCAATGGGATCCATCCCAAATCCTGCAGGATCCATCCCAAAAATCCCAATGGGATCGACCCCAAATCCTGCAGGATCCATCCCAAAATTCCAATGGGATCCATCCCAAATCCTGCAGGATCCATCCCAAAAATCCCAATGGGATCCATCCCAAATCCTGCAGGATCCATCCCAAAAATCCCAATGGGATCCATTCCCAGAAATCCCAACAGGATCCATCCCAAAAATTCCAACGGGATTGACCCAATCCCAATGGATCCATCCCAAATCCCCATCCCCAGAAATGCCCCCAAACACCGATTTTTAAGGATTTTTGGGGGTTTTTTCCATCCCAAACCATTCCAGCATTCCCTGCGCTGGCTCGGGTGGGATTTTTGGGATGAATCCCGAGGTTTTGATGGAATTTTTATGGAATTTTCCCCGGCAGTGTCCTGACAGGGCACAACCACTACGTGATGTGTGCTCAGTTCCACCCCAGCGAGGACCTGGTGGTGTCGGCCAGTCTGGACCAGACCGTGAG